TGGCATGTGGTGTCAGGAGTCAAACCCGGGTCCTTGCTTGAGCTTTCCTAAGCGGGCACTTAGACCGCCAAACTATCTCCCCAGCCCTAAGGAACATCTTACATTGCAGAGTAATTTTAGATTAATTTTTGGGAGGAGATGGAAAAAGTACTAAAACCTCATAAGTTGCCCTTGTCACCTGCTGGGTAAGAGAAGGAATATCAGAAACAAGGGGATAAAGTGTCAGTACCTGTGTCCAGTAAGACGTGCACCCATCAAGCAGAATCTAAGTGATTATAAACAACTAAATTTCAACATGTGAATAGTCCTGTGTCTGGAAAGAAAGCTGGGCATGGTGGTAGGTGCCTGTAACTTCAGCGGTCTGGGACCTGAAGCAGGAGGGTTGCAAATTTGATTCCAGTGAGACCTGTTCTCAAAGTACAGAATTTTAAAAGTGCTGGGCTGAGGATCAGCCAATGCAAAGACCCTGGGTTCAATCCTCAGAACCTCAAAAGGAAAGAAAAATTGTTAAATATATATATTAATCCTGGGGATTACACTCAGGACCTTGCTCTTGCCAGGCAAGCACTTATTCTACTGATCCATCTCCCTGGCCCCTAAAAAAATTTATTTAAAAACAACTTTTATTAACATTCATCTTTTTTTTAGTTACCTGATGCAGTGTCTCACCGCGCAGTTCAAAGGCTGGCTTAGTGCACACAGGGTTCCAGGGCTGGCATTGTGTATGGTACCAGAGATAAAACCCAGGTCCATGCACTTGCCAGGCAGGCGCTTAGAAGACTGAACTATCTCCCCAGCCCCTTAACATTCATCTTAAAGCATTAAATTAACTTCTCAAAACCAACCCCAAACCTTGCATATTTTCCTAGAAAAAAAATCTATATACAACTTCATTACAAGAAAAGGTGGTATAGCTTAGTGGTAGGGCACTTGCCTAAACTATGAGTCTCTGTGATCTGTGCCAGCGCTGTAACACACACAACCATGCATGCCCACACATACCTGTGCACACAGCCCTCTAGGATGCATGCCATATGGCTCTCATTTTTTCACTTTGTTACCTTAAACTTCCGGGATTGTTAATGTTTATACCACATAACTGGCTTTGAGCCTGGGGCCAGGCATATTGATGGACGCTCCTACCCTCATGCTGCTCCATATGTCTCTGGTTCTTTTTCTTTAAAAATTTTTTTTTCTTAATCTTTTATTTATTTGGTACAGGGTCTCACTATGCAGCTCAAACTCATAGTGATTGTCCTGTCTCAGCCTCCCTAGCAGTGGGATTACAGGTGTATGCCCCCACACCTAGTTTCAGGACCAACTGGGCAGTGCCTGGGGTTCTGGGGCCGGCACAGCATATGGTGCCAGGGATCAAGCCCAGGTCCTTGTGCTTGCCAGGCAGGTGCTTAGACCATGGAGCTATCTCTCCAGCCCCATCTCTGGTTCTTTGTGAGTGTGAAAGTGCTTCATTAAATACTCATACTTTAGAGTAAATACATAGAAGTATGCATAAGGGTCAAAGAAGCACAATACAATTTTGAAAGATTACTTGTAAAAGCTGATACAAAAAGTAAATGTGTATGTCTTAGTTACTTTTTCTCCTTGCTGAGACAAAATATCTCAAACCCAGAGTCATTAAAGGAGGAAAGGTTTATTTAGCTGAGAGTCTGTTAAGGTTTCAGGTTATAGTCAGCAGACAAATCCCAGTAATTCCAGTTAACTCAAGAGGGAGAGGCAAAAGGAGCACAAGTTCACTGCCAGCCTGGGTAAACTATCCAGCTGCTACCTCAAGAAAAAGAAGTTGAAACATCGAGTCAGTGCAGAACACATGGCCACAAACAAGCACATGAGTGATTGCAGTTGCATTATTCATGATAGACCGGAGGGAACAACCCAACATCCTCCAACTGATGAATGCGCTCCTGAAATCTGATAAAGGCATACAGTGAAATATTATTCAGCCATAAGAGAAAAAATTTACTGAGAATGTCACAATAAGAATGATCCTTGAGAACAGGACAGGAAGTGAAACACACCAGACACAAAGGCTCTGTAAGAGTCACGTTACGTAAAATATCCAGAATGGCAAAATGCATAGAGACAGACAGCAGTTTTATAGCTGCCGTACCTGGAGGAGAGGGGGTAGGAGGGGGTTTCTAATGTGCTTGGGGTTTCTCTCTGGGATGCTAAACATGTTCCCACCTTAGTGATGTTTGGTTGCATAGGTCTGTGAACAGCTGCAGATTAATCAAGTGTATAAGGTGAATTCAGCATAAATTTTATGGTATATCTTTCAACTCACCTATTATGAGAAAAATTTATGTTTGCAGAAATAAGTTAGAAAAAACAAGTTAGAATTTGTCGTTTACAAATATGAAGCCATTGTATCTACAGTTTACTTATTTCATCACAGAATAAACATGACTGAAAACAGAACAATAACATTGAGCTGTGAAGAACAGGAAACATCTAGAATCCTCACAAACAATGCAAAGGCAGGGTGAGGGCAGTCACCAGCTCAGTGAGTGGAAAAACAAACTCCCATCTGGTTTTATGTTTCAGTGTTGAGCATGTAGCTCTAACCACACAGCTACAACCCCAGCCTCTCCCTCAGTTTCTTTGATGCCTAAAGCTCTCATACAATCAGGTATTCACATACAAATCCAATCCACAAAGGAGGGGAAACAGAATATTCTCAAGCAGGACAGTCTTATGTCAGCTACCTAATATACATACTGGGATTTGTATGGAAATCCTAAAGACAGATACTTCATGTACAGGTAATGTAAGATATATGAGAAACTGCACCTTTAGGGCATGAAAGGCAGCTGGTTTTAAGGGGTCTTACTGGAGAAGCCTAGGACGCGGGAGCATGAGCTGCCAGCTGGCCTCCATGCACATGCCCCATCACTTGTCTTCCTGTGCAGTGGCTTTAAAATCCAATAAATGCTTTCTTCACTCTGCCTTCAAATTGTCCTTCAAGGTAGACTATTAGGGGACTCAAACTATAAAAATAGAAACTCCAATATTCAACATTACCAATGAAGGCATCACAATCCAATGCCAACTCTAAATTTTATTATTCTACCATAGGTCTCTGCTTTTCATTCCAAGTGAACTAGTCAAGAAATAGCTGGAAAGAATGACAAAGAAAGGAAAAGATGAAAATAATTATTCACATAAGGCTACTTTCTATAGTAAAATTTATATCCTTTAAATCCAGTGGCAACCAGACATGATGGTACATGCCTGTAATTCCAGCTTTCAGGAGGGTAAGGCAGGAAGATGAGTTTGAGGCCAGTCAGCACTATACAGTAATTTTAAGGCTAGCCTAGGGGCTGGGGAGATGGCTCAGTAGGATAAGTGCTTGACTGGCAAACATAAGGATCTGAGTTCAATCCCCGGTTCAGCCAAAAAAAAAAAAAAAAAAAAAAAAAAAGACTAGCCTGAACTACACAGAGATCCTATCTCAAAAAACAAACAAAAAATCTGAGATCAATTCTTTATTAGCCACAAAGATATAAACTTCTTTGTGCCCTTTAAAAAGTTTTCTCAGTATAGCTCAGCAGCATAAGCACCTGCCTGGCAAGTGCAAGGTCATCAGTTTGATCCCAGTACAAAAAATAAAAAATAAATAAATAGGATAAAAAGTTTTCTCCATAAGAAAATGGTAGAACATATAGAATGAGCAAGATATATTTCAGAACCTGCCACATGAGGCCAAAAAGAAAGTTCTAACAATTAACAAAGATTGGTTTTAAATGATCTATTATCAGAATTTGACAACTAGATAAAAATTAAAATTCCTAGGGCTAGCACGTAGGCAGGCGCAGGAGCTGGGGTTTGATCCCAGCAACACATGCCATGCCAGCTCTGCTCCCAGGCTCACTGAGCCTGCCACTGAGACCGGGAGTGGTGGCGCATGCCTGTAATCCAGCTCTGGGGAGGCTGAAAGCAGGAGAATCACTACAAGTCCAAGCTGCGTAGTGAGACCCTGTACCAAATACATTTTTTTAAAAAAAATTAAACCTCCTTCTATATTAAAAATGCATTTCAATTCATCCACAGACTCTATACATTTCATAATGAGCAAGTAAAATTTATTATTAAGTGAGCTAGCCACCACAGCACATACCTATAACCATAGCTACTGGGGAGGGAGGCTAAGGTATGAGCAAGTCAGATGCCAGCCTAGGCAACTTAGTGAGATCTTGGATCAGAAACTTAGAAGTGCTAGGAATGTAGCACAGTAGTCCCTGGATTCAACCCCCCGTACCATGAAAAGAACAAAATAGTATTAAGTGACTTAAGAAAAATTACATATTATAGGGCCAGGGATATAGCTCAGTGGCACAGTGCCTTCCTGGCAAGGACAAAGGTTCTAAGTTTCAATATTGGTACAAAAAAAACCCCACATATTAAATTCACAGTTGCTTTAAAAGTATTTACAGAATTATCTCACCTCAGTGATTCTTTGTAAAGTAGTAATCTCCACAGGCCCAACGTCCACATTAACAATGAACCATTTATAAAAGAAAATCAATGTTTATCTTTTACACCATTTCCTTCACAATATGTGCTTCCTGGAGCATCATGTATTTATTTACATTAGGTTTTTTGTATTATTTCAATGTATATATTTCACTAAGCTGGAAATAGTTGTAAGTCTGTATTTTTAAAATGGCAAACATACTTTTCATACTCTCAACCTTTTAATCCAGTGTGCACTCTCTCCTGCTTCCCCCACTTCCTTTTTCTGGTGGGAGTGCTGGACTTGTAAGGATTTGAGCCAAATGAAGGCTTATGTATGCTGCTTATATTCTCTCCATTGTTCTTTCATGACCTCAAACTGAAGTGGAACACAGGGCCAGGGAGATGGCTCAGTGGAATAAGCACTTCCTTGGCAAGTGCAAGGACCTGAGTTCAATCCCCGGTTCTACAAAAAAAAAGAAAGAAAGAAAAAAAATGAAGTGGAACACAAAAGCCACTGTTACCATCTGTACTTAAAAGGTTTCTCACCAATATACATCCTCAAATATGCTAAAAAGCTGCACAAAGAATGCCTTCCTATATTCTTTGCACAGGGTGCCTCTATAACATGATCTCTTTTACACTTCTCAAAGGAACTGTAACAAGATAAGGCTTACCCACCCTTACTATATTTGTGCAGTTTTTCCTTCAGAATGAGATCTTTGGTGTGCTCGAAAGTTACTAGACTGACTGAAAGCTTTCCCACACTTTGTACACACATAGGGTTTTTCCCCAGTGTGAGACCTTCTATGTTTCTGAAGGGTACTGGGACAACTGAAGGCTCTCCCACATTCTTGACACACATAGGGTTTCTCCCCAGTGTGTGTTCTTTTATGTATTTGAAACACACTAGAACTACTGAAGATTTTACCACATTCTTGACATTCATATTGTTTCTGTCCAGTGTGATTTCTTTCATGTATTTGAAGGTAACTGTAACATCCAGAGGCTTTACCACACTGTATACACTGATACAGTTTCTCTCCAGTGTGAATCTTTTCATGTCTTTTAAGTGAACTTTGACAACTGAAGGCTTTCCCACATTCGTTACATTCATAGGGTTTTTCTCCTGTATGAGTTCTTTCATGAATCTGAAAGGAACTAGAACTACGAAATGCTTTACCACACAGTTTACACTGGTAAGGCTTCTCTCCAATGTAGGGCTTCTCTCCAGTGTGAGACTTTTTGTGCATCTGAAGGTAGCAGGAATGACTAAAAGCCTTACCACACTGCTTACACTCATATGGCTTCTCCCCAGTGTGAGTCTTCTCATGTCTTTGAAAGGAACTGGAACAACTGAAGGTTTCCCCACACTCCTTATATTCATATGGTTTCTCTCCAGTGTGAGTCTTTTGGTGTATTTGAAAGGAACTGGCACTACCTAACATTTTTCCACACTGTTTACATTCAAAGGGCTTCTCTCCAGTGTGTTGTCATTCATGAATTTGAAATGCACTAGAACTAATGAATGCTTTTCCACACTCCTTACATTTGTGAGGTCCATCTCCAGTATGTGTTATCATGTGTCTTTGAAAAGATGCAAAAGAAATAAAAGCTTTCCCATATTTATCACATTCATAGTATGTGTTTTTCCTAGCATGCATCCTTTCATGTATTCGAAAAGAACTGAAACGACTAAAAGCCTTACCACATTTTTTACACTCATAGGGTTTTTCTCCAGTGTGGATTTTTCTTTTCATTCATTCTTTCTTTCTTTATTTATTTTTTTTTACAAAATCTCAAAACAAGATCTCAGGAGAGTAATAATGGTTAGTACTTTGTGTATTGTTACTGTCAAAGTAGTTTCTCATATTACAAGATATAGGCAAGAAATAATAAATAAACAACATAGGTACAAAACTCTTATTTTTTAAAGTCAACAGAAAATGGAAATATACTTTTTAAAGTTTCTAATACTAGGAGAAGATATCAT